GCATTAAGAGGAAAACTGTTTTGTTGGTACTTTTTTGGAAAAGGTTGCACGGGGAAAGTGTTGTTGTTGCACCGTCAAAATGTTTCCAATGTAAGATCCAAGGACGAACCTATCATGTTTTACTAAGTTCTTGTGGGTTTTTTTGGGCTATATGGCCATGTTCTAGAGGCATTTCTCCTGATGTTTCGCCTGCATCTATGGCAAGCATCCTCAGAGGTGAGGATGTGTTCCTTTAGCTCACCTCTGAGGATGCTTGCCATAGATGCAGGCGAAACGTCAGGAGAAATGCCTCTAGAACATGGCCATATAGCCCAAAAAAACCCACACGAACTTAGTGATTCCAGCCATGAAAGCCTTCGATAATACTATCATGTTTTGTTTTCTGAGGCCGAGAGAGTGTGACTGGCCCCATGGCTGAGCCAGGATTTGAACCTATGCCTCCAGAGCCATAGTAACCATAGTAACCATAAGATGAACCAAATACTGGGTTTTGTTTGGAAAGGGTCTGCCTTTGCCTCCTTCGAGGCGGAAAGTGTGTGACTTGCCTAAAACCCAGCACTCCAACCACTCTGTCGTATTGGCTTCTTTACTTGATGGAAATGTTGCATTTGGAGGGCATGAATGTTGCTTTGCATCCAGTGTTATCTCATATAAGCAATGGGATCTGAGTCTATCAAACACTTATCAAGGTGCGCAGAGCATACTGCAAACGGTGCATTGATTGCATGGCTGTAGCTGTCTTCATAGACCTGTCAGCAGCTTATGGTACTGTAAACCATCACCTCCCCCTGGAAAAAAATGTATAATATCACAAAGGATTACCACCTCACTGGCTTCATAGGAAATCCTATGTCGCCCTAGGACTGAGAGCGGCGGTCAACAAATGCAGCAAATAAATAAATAAAATAAATAAATCCGCTACAAAACAGGAGCTTTTTTGTTGAGTTCCAGGGCCAGAGAAGCAGATGGAGAAAACAGAAGAACAGTCTTCCTCAGGGGAGCATGCTTGCTCCATCCATGTTCAACATCTACACCACTGCCAGAAGGAACAGAGAGTTTAATCTATGCTGACGATAGTGACATCATTGCCCAAGCAGGGAGCTTTGAAATGGTTCAACAGAAACTCTCTGCAGCTTTTAAGTGCTCTTACTGCCTATTACAGGGAAAACCAGCTGATCCCTAATCCATCTAAAACACAGACATGTGCTTTTCACCTCAACAACAGACAAGCATCCCAAGCTCTGAGGATGACCTGGGAAGGAATCCCACTGGAGCATTGCAGCACACCCAAATACCTGGGAGTCACTCTGGAACATGCTCTGACCTACAAGAAGCACTGCCTGAATATCAAGCAAAAAGCGGGCACTAGAAACAACATAATACGAAAGCTGACTGGCACAACCTGGGGATCACAACCAGACACAGTGAAGACATCTTACCTTGCACTATGCTACTCTGCTGCTGCATACACATGCTCAGTGTGGAATACATCTCACCACGTTAAAACAGTGGATGTGGCTTTCAATGAGACATGCCACATTATCACAGGATGTCTACACCCTACATCACTGGAGAAATTATACTGTTTAGCCGGTTTTGCACCACCTGACATCTGCTGGGAAGCAGCAGCCTGTAATGAAGGACCAACGCATTGATATCTCTGGCCCATCCTCTATTCAGATATCAGCCAGCATGCCAGCAACTTAAACCAAGAAGCAGCTTCCTAAGGTCTAGAGATACTCACAGGAACACCTCAGCAAGCAAGAGTCCAAAAGTGGCAGGCTAAAACCCAGAGCCTCAATCAGTGGCTGAGATCAGATGAAAAACTCCCTCCTGGGCATACAGAAGACTGGGTGACATGGAGGGCACTGAACAGGCACAAGATGCAGAGCCAGTCTTAAGAAATGGGGCCACAAAGTGGAGTCTACGGCATACGAGTGTGGAGAAGAACAAACCAGAGACTACCTACTGCAATGTAACCTGAGTCCTGCACAATGGAGGACCTTCTCACAGCAACACGGCACTCCAAGGGGCCAGCTTCTGGTCAAAGGACATTTAGCATCATGCCAAGGTTTCAACTTTGTGGTTTTTCTATACCTTATAACTATATTCACAACTTGCTTCTGTCACAATAAAAAAACCTTATTATTACAGTATTGCAGCTGTTGCTCAACATTGGAAACTGTCCTGAGTCCCCTAGGGGAGATAAAAGTGGTATATAAATACATTATTATTATTATTATTATTATTATTATTATTATTATTATTATTTGTCAGGTTTTACAATGTATTGTAATGTAATATAGCTGAGTCATGCACTGCTAATGGGCTTCTATTGGAAATGCTGAGTCATGCATTAACTGTATATAGAACTTCATTTGGGGAATGTGTTCTGGCCTAGTCCGGGTGATTGTGAATGATGTAATCCTGGGTATGAGTTACGTTAATGAGTTGGGAACCAATCAGAGATTGCTATGTGTAATTGTATATATTTGTATATAAGGAAGTCATGTACAGTGTATTCTCTCTCCTTGTGCTGTGATGTTGTTCGTCGAAGGCTATATGTAATTAAAATAACCTGTCTGCTAAGGCAAGATATAACTGTATGCTGTGGTAAGTCTGTAATATCATCTAGACTGGGGAAAAGACAATGGTAAAACTGACAATGGCCGGGCATGTGCTCAAGTGTCTGTAAAAGGTTCCAGAGTGACTGCAGGCTGTGGGAGCAGTTGACTGAAAATACTGTGCAGGAAGAAGCTACTGGAAAGCGCTGAAGTTGTGCAACTGATCTGCTGCTGAATTGTGAAGTTAATCTCAACATTATTATTATTATTACGTTGCAATTTGGTAACAAGGCCATATGACGCAACTGAGATTGAACTCCATAAAGCATAAAATGGCACTCTGTCTCCCCACTACTTGAGATTGACGGATACATTGTCAGATTGATATTGTTTGTTTGGCGAGGTTGTTAGAGATTGATTCATTTGCCATTGTTGAATGCAGACCAAAAAAATAATTGACATAAAGATAACAGCTGGCATCCTGCTTGCGGCTTTGCAAAAGGACATGCGCAATTGCAATGTTGGATTGAATAGCCTTGCAATGCCCATCTTCATCTATGGAAGTGGCTCCCAACCTTTGTTTGGATTCGCCATGACTTTGACATGCTAAAGGGCCTCCACTTATTATCAAATAGCTCTTCTTTGATTTCTCCTGATAGGGCTGTTGCTTGTATCCTGTTGAACCCATTATTTACAAATATTCACACCTAGCTCCAGCAGACAAGAGTCCTTTGTCCCACCCTTATATTCCACAGATATATAAACCCTTTTTCCTAGTTCCAACAGACCTCACTACCTCTGAGGATGCTTGCCATAGATGCAGGCGAAACGGCAGGAGAGAATGCCTCTAGAACATGGCCATATAGCCCGAAAAAACCTACAACAACCCATTATTTACTGATAAATTCTCTAGCGTTTTCCTCCAGTTTCTGCTCATTTTGAGTCTTGCAGCCCATAACATGACGAATATAAGATCTGTATTTTATTTATTATCATTTTCAATTACAGAAATCATAAGTAGAACTCCCTGGAAAGGCACTGTTTCCCCCATTTATCTATGTTTGGACCTCATACCGCAATCTTTGTGCTTTTGGCCACATTGAATTCCTTCCTTCCTTCCTTCCTTCCTTCCTTCCTTCCTTCCTTCTTGCCTGCTCCTTCCCTCTCCTTCCCTTCTTCTTTCTTTCTTCTTGATTGCCTGGTCCTTTCTTTCTTCTTATTTTCTTTCTCTCCCTCCTTTTCCTTCCTTCCATTTCTTCTTCCTTCCTTCCTTTTCTTTCTTCTTGCCTGCCTGCTCCTTTCCTTTTTTCCTTCATTCCTTCTTGTCTGCTACTTCCCTTCCCTCTTTATTTCTTCTTGATTGCCTGCTTCTTCCCTTCCCTTCCCTTCCCTTCCCTTCCCTTCCCTTCCCTTCCCTTCCCTTCCCTTCCCTTCCCTTCCCTTCCCTTCCCTTCCCTTCTTCTTTCTTTCCTTTTGATTGCCTGGTCCTTTCCCTTTTTTTGTCTTCCTTCTTTACTCTCAATCTCTCTCTCTTTCCTTCCTTCCTTCTTTCCTGCATGCCTACCTCCCTTCCCTTCCCTTCTTCTTTCTTTCCTCTTGATTGCCTGGTCCTTTCCTTTTTTTTTGGTCTTCCTTCTTTACTTTCTCTCTCTCTCTCCTTCCTTTCTTCCTTCTATTTCTTCTTCCTTCTTGCCTGCCTGCCCCTTTCCTTTCCTTTCCTCCCCTTCCTTCTTTCTTGCCTGTACCCTCCCTTCCCTTCTCTTCCTCTTTCTGTCTTTCTTTCTTCTTGACTGCCTGGTCCTTTCCTTTCTTTCTTCTTTTCTTTCCCTCCCTCCTTTTCCTTCCTTCCCTTTCTTCTTCCTTCCTTTTCTTTCTTTCTTCTTGCCTGCCTGCTCCTTTCCTTTTTCTTCCTTCCTTCTTGTCTGCTACTTCCCTTCCCTCTTTATTTCTTCTTGATTTCCTGCTCCTTCCCTTCCCCTTCCCTTCCTTCTTGCTTGCCTGGTCCTTTCCTTTCCTTCTTGATTATTTGCTTTCCCTCCCTCCCTCCCTCCCTCCCTCTCTCCCTCCTTCCTTCCTTGTTGCCTGCCTGCTCCTTCCCTTCCCCTTCCTTCCTTGTTGCCTGCCTGCTCCTTCCCTTTCCCTTCCCTTCCTTCTTGCTTGCCTGGTCCTTTCCTTTCCTTCTTGATTCTTTGCTTTCCCTCCCTCCTTCCTTCCTTCCTTCCTACCTTCCTTCCCTCCTCTCTTCCTTCCCTTCCCTTCCCTTCCTTCCTTCCTTCCCTTCCCTTCCTTCCCTTCCCTTCCCTTCCTTCTTGCTTGCCTGGTCCTTTCCTTTCCTTCTTGATTCTTTGCTTTCCCTCCCTCCCTCCCTCCCTCCCTCCTTCCTTCCTTCCTTCCTTCCTTCCTTCCTTCCTCGTTGTCTGCCTGCTCCTTTCCCCTTCCCTTTCCCCTTCCCTTCCCTTTGAAGCCACCCTCCTCCTACCTTCCTCCTCCTCCTCCTCCTCCTGGGCTCCACCCAAGAGCAAACCCTCTCCTTGCTCTTGGCTCAGACTCCTCTGCTTTGCGCCTGACTCTCTCTCAGCAGCTGCTCTCTTCACTTCTCTTCAGCTGGGCATCAGGGTGAGTCTCCTTCTCTTTGCTCTCCCCTCCATCCCTCCATTGGCACAGCTTTCATCCTGAAGGAGGGTGAAGGCATCTCCATGGTAGCTTGCAACCTCTGAAATATTTCCTTGGGTGCTTCTACACCAGGCATGGGCAAACTTGGATCCTCCAGGTGCTTAGTCTGGGGCTGTTAGGAATTGTGGGAGTTTTGGTCCATTTACCTGGAAGGAGGGCCCAAGTTTGCCCATGCCTGATCTGTGGAATGTGTGCAATTTGGCACGACTTTCCCTGCTATGGAATCTGGAGATGTGCCATTTGGTGAGGTTCCAGTTGAACTACAACTCCCATTTCTTCTACAGAATTGAGCCTTGGCTATTCAAGGGCCTGATCACACCCGAGAAGGTAGATTTTGTCTTCTGCCTGCAGTTGTGTACTGTTGTATGCCAACGTGGTGCCCAATTGTATTCATTCCACAGTGTAGATGCACCCAATAGCGAGACACAAGGACTTCTTGTCGTGGGAGAAGAGGGCTTCCTTTCTGTTTTCCAAGCGCAGAGCAGCATGTGGGTTTGGGCCACTTTCCTAACACAACACTGCGCTGAGAGAGGCCGGGTTTTGCTGTAGCGGAGATCATTGACTATGTAACAAAACCCGAAACATTTTCAGTTCCTGGTTTGACAGTGTGATTTCCTGTTTAATTGTGCGCTCTTGACTTTGAAAGTAGTTTTTCAACTCCTGAAATTTTGTTGTTGTGACTCGATGCGATATGCATGGAAAAACCGAAGCAAAATGTGCTGCAAGATGTCCAAAGTTTGTGCAGTTTAATATACCTTTTTCTATTTTTTAATGTCAGAACCAACTAGGAAACGACATATATAATCCGGGAACAAAAATGCTACATAATGTTATTAAAAACATTGTGTATACAATGACCTTCAGCCTAAGTGTATAAGGCAGGTATGGGCAAACCCAGGCCCAGGGGCTGGATGTGTCTCCCTAGGTCTCTTTTCTCAGGCCCTCCTCTCTCTCATCATCCTTCCTCCTTCCCTCCCTCCCTTTCCTCCCTCTTTCTCCCTTCCTCCTTCCTTCCATTCCACCCTTCCTTCATTCCCTCTCTTCCTCTTTCTCCCTCCTTCCTTCCTTCCCCATTGTCTTTCCTTCCTTCTCTCTTTCCTCCCTCCCTTCTCCACCTCTTTCTCCCTCCCTACTTCCTTCCTCTTTCTCCTTCCTTCCTTCCCTGTTGTCTTTCCTTCCTTCTCTCTTTCCTCCTTCCTTCCCCCTCTTTCTTCCTCCCTCCATTCCCTTTCACCATTTCATCCTTCCTTCTTTTCCCTTCCTTCCTTCCTCCCTTTTGTCCTTTCCTTCTTCTCTCTTTCCCTCCCTCCTTCCTCTCTTCCCTTCCTTTCCCCCTTTCTTCTTCCCTCCCTCCTTTCCTTTCCCCCTTTTCCTTCCTTCTCTTCCTTCTTCTTTCTTCCCTTCTTTCCTTCTACCCTTCCTTTCCTTTTGTCCTTCCTTCCTTCTCTCTTCCCTTCCTCCTTCCCTTCCTTCCATCCATCCATCCATCCATCCATCCATCCTTACCTTCCACCCTTTCGTATTTCCTTCCTTTCCCTTTCCCTCCCTTCTTCTCCTTCCCTTCCTTCATCTTTCCTTCCTTTTCTCTTTCCTCCCTCCCTCCCCCCTTCTCCCTCCCTCCATTCCCTTTCACCATTTCATCCTTCCTTGCTTTTCTCCTTCCTTCCTTCCTTCCTTCCTTCCTTCCTTCCTTCCTTCCTTCCCTTTTGTCTTTCCTTCCTTCTCTCTTTCCTCCTCCCGTCTCTTCTTTCCCTCTCTTTCTCCCTCCTTCCATTTCCTTCCTCGTCTTTTTTCTTCCTTCTTCTTTCCTTTCTTTCTTCCCTCTTCTCCTTCCTTTCCTTTTTTTTTCCTTCCTCTCTTTCCTTCCTCCTTCCTTCCTTTCCTCCTTCCTTCCATCCTCCCTTTCCATCCTTCCTTCCCTTCCTCCCTTTCATCTTTCCTTCCTTTTCTCTTTCCTCCCTCCCTTCTTTCCTTCCTTTCCCTCTTTCCTCCCTCCTTCCCTTTCCTTTCTCTTCCTTCTTTTCCTTCCTTTCCCTTCCTTCCCTTCCTTCCTTCCTTCCTTCCTTCCTTTCCTTCCTTCCCTTTTGTCTTTTCCCTTCCTTCCTCTTTCTTCCTTCCCCTTTCTCCCCCCTCCATTCCCTTCCACCTTTCTTCCTTCCTTCTTTCCTTATTTTCTTCCCTTCTCCTTCCTTTCCGTTTGTCCTTCCTTCTCTCTTTCCTTCCATCCTCCTTCCCTCCCCCCTCCCATCCATCCATCCTTACCTTCCACCCTTTCATCCTTCCTTCCCTTTCGTATTTCCTTCCTTTTCCCTTTCCTCCTCCTTCTCCTTCCCTTCCTCCTTTCTTTCCTTCCTTTTCTCTTCCCTCCCTCCCTTCTTTCCTTCCCCCTCTTTTTCCCTCCCTCCATTCCCTTTCACCATTTCATCCTTCCTTGCTTCCTTCCTTCCTTCCTTCCTTCTCTCTTTCCTCCCTCCCTCTCTTCCTTCCCTCTCTTTCTCCCTCCCTCCATTTCCTTCCAACCCTTCGTCATTCTTTCCTTCTTTCCTTTTTTCTTCCAAAGCATTATCTTCTAAACAGAGACTGTATGGCCATCTGTCGGGAGGACTTTGATGGTGCAGAGGGCAGGAGGGGGGTTGGACTGGATGACCAACTCTAAAGACTCTATAGTTTTATATATGGTCATTAAAAAACAGGTATTCCCAAACACCTACAAATCCCAATCATTTTGTGATTAGACTCACTCAGGTTTTCCATGTCCATGATGCAAATATTCCCAAATTGCAAAGAAGCGAGATTCAAATTGTGTTGTGATTTCATCATACTGAGGTTTTGGGTTTTTGAAGAGAAGGAAAAAGCTTCCTTCAACAGCATTCCTTTCCTCTGATGGATGCCCAAACGGCAGGCATCATTTACTTGGTTTTAAAAAACTCTAATAGAAGAGGAGATTCCATCTGAACTCGAGGAAGAACTTCCTGACTGTGGGAGCCGTTCAGCAGTGGAACTCTCTGCCCCGGAGGGTGGAGGCTCCTTCTTTGGAAGCTTTTAAACAGAGGCTGGATGGCCATCTTTCAGGGGTGCTTTGAATGCAATATTCCTGCTTCTTGGCAGAATGGGGTTGGAGCGGATGGACCATGAGGTCTCTTCCAACTCTTTGATTCTGTGTGTTCCACAGTTTGCATCTCCATCAACACTGCAAAATTAATGCATCACTCAATACTATGGAATCATGGAAAGTGCAGTTTGGTGAGGCAAAGGCTTTGCAAAAACTACGACTCCCAGGACCGCAGAGCATTGAACCATGGCAGCTAAACTTGCATTCATTCCACAGTGCGGATGCAAACATCTGGTGTCTCTTAGCTCGGTTCGAAAGGAATTTTGCCTGAAATTCTGGATATTTGCATCTGTAGTACTGGCCAAAACGGGCTAAATATAAGGCCGTTTCTGTATTAGTTGTCCAAACTGTGTTTTGCTGTTGCCATAACAGGTTGCACTCAAATGTTTGCATTTGTGTAGTTTGTGAGTTTTGCAGATCTCTAGAAGAGTGTCTGCAGCGCCGTTTGCAAAAGCCCCCCCCCCCCCTTTCAGATAGGCGTTGTTTCTGGAACAAATCCACCGCTTCCTGGCCCTACAGTAGTGTTCCGTCTTCCAGGAGCTTGGTTTGCATTGCCTTGAAATAGCATCTCTTTGCATTTCCCCCAGGGTTGCTACAGTCTTAGCAGCACCCTCATAGTCAAACATTAACAGAGGCTGGAAGCCCTTTGCAGCTATTGGCTTAAAAAGTATCCCCCATGACCTTCTGGCAAGGAAACTAGTCCAATGTGGGCTAGGCAAAACTATGGTGAGGTGGATCTGTCATTGGTTAAATGGACGAACCCAGAGGGTGCTCACCAATGCTTCCTGTTCATCCTGGAAAGAAGTGACAAGTGGAGTGCCGCAGGGCCCAGTCCTGTTCAACATCTTTATTAATGACTTGGATGAAGGGTTAGAAGGCAGGATCATCAAGTTTGCAGACGACACCAAATTGGGAGGGATAGCCAATACTCCAGAGGACAGGAGCAGGATTCAAAACGATCTTGACAGATTAGAGAGATGATTGGCCAAAGCGAACAAAATGAAGTTCAACAGGGACAAATGCAAGATACTCCACTTTGGCAGGAAAAACGAAATGCAAAGATACAAAATGGGGGATGCCTGTCTCGAGAGCAGTACGTGTGAAAAAGATCTTGGAGTCCTCATGGACAACACGTTAAACATGAGCCAGCAATGTGATGTGGTGGCAAAAAAAAAGCCAATGGGATTTTGGCCTGCATCAATAGGAGCATAGTGTCTAGGTCTAGGGAAGTCATGCTCCCCATGCTCTATTCTGCTTTGGTTAGACCACACCTGGAATATTGTGTCCAATTCTGGGCAACACAATTCAAGAGAGATATTGACAAGCTGCAATGTGTCCAGAGGAAGGCGACTAAAATGATCAAGGGTCTGGAGAACAAGTCCTATGAGGAGCGGCTTAAGGAGCCGAGCATGTTTAGCCTGAAGAAGAGAAGGCTGAGAGGAGATATGATAGCCATGTATAAATATGTGAGAGGAAGCCACAGGGAGGAGGGAGCAAGCTTGTTTTCTGCTTCCTTGGAGACTAGGACATGGAACAATGGCTTCAAACTACAAGAGAGGAGATTCCATCTGAACATGAGGAAGAACTTCCTGACTGTGAGAGCTGTTCAGCAGTGGAACTCTCTGCCCCGGAGTGTGGTGGAGGTTCCTTCTTTTAAACAGAGGCTGGATGGCCATCTGTCAGGGGTGATTTGAATGCAATATTCCTGCTTCTTGGCAGGGGGTTGGACTGGATGGCCCATGAGGTCTCTTCCACCTCTTTGATTCTATGATTCTTTGGTCCAGAGACCGCCCTTTTTCCTGGGGATGAGATCTCCATTTTGGAGAAGCTC